TATTGCTGTATACACGATACGCGCATATTCATCTTTGATCTTGACCAATCGAGCAATATGGAAATAATACATTATTTCAAACTAAAAAGTCGTATTTAATTTATTGTATGCAATTATTTGTATTCCGTTTGTTTTATAATCCTGAACGAAAATGATTTGACGGAAATTGAATTTTCGGTAAATGTTTAATCGAATTTATTATTGGTTAAACGAAATTTGATAATATTTTTCGTAAATTAATCTCGTTAATTCAGAATGCAATATTTATTTTTGTTCTATGTAATAAGCGTTTATCTTAGTCTTATGCTTTCCTATTTTTATATAAAATAATTTAATATTTTATTATATTTGAATTTAACGACTTCTTTAATATGTCACATAAATTTCGAATCCTACAAACATTTATTCTGGAATCTGAAGTCAATTATTTGTGGAATTTAAATCGGAATATAAAATAAATCTTATATTGGATTCACATTGAAAATAATCTCTAATTCCATGTATCAAATACATCACTCTTGAGAATTTACCATTTACCAAAAAATTTCTCTTTTTTCACTATTATCAGGTCATATCAAACACACTTAATTTTTTTCTATAACGTTCGATGCCGCATCGAGGCAAGCAGAAACCATATTCGTATAATAATTCCAGATTTGAGAATTCACCGCTGGTGAAGAGAATTATTTTTCACATGAACGTTACCCACACAAAGAAATCACAATCAATGATAATAGCACGTACAACGAGAGCCTTGAAATTTTTAACATCGCAGTAACGTAATGATATCTCGAAAACACGGTTGAACTTCATTGTCTTCGTTGACACGCGAGCATTAATTAAACGAGCCTATGTATGTCGATGTATTTGTTAAAAAAAAAAAAAAGAAGAAGGAGAAAAAATAAGAGGAATCATAGGATATAAAAATAAAAAGAAAGAGAAAAAAAAAAATCATTGGCGGAACAACTGAATCCCTAACGAGTACACGTTTTACGGCTGGTACGCGATATCGGTGAGAATATAATAAATACGTCCCTGAAAATACGTTCATACACGGTGAACAAATAAAATTGTCCATAAAACCTCGTCTTTACGTTGGAGAATTCGTTGTGCCGTCTCAATGCGTACCTGGAAAAATTTCGTTCTTATGCGATGCACGCAACCGAGCCCTTCGCAAAGCCAACTTGTATATAGCTTCGCTTAAATGTACCATCGTGCAAGGCCATCCATCTTAGGATTGCCGATCCCCGATTTTCGCGTGCAAATGTGGGAAACGGTTTCGTCTCGTAGGTGCGCGAGAAATAATTCTGTGAAAAGTGTTCAAACGAGATCGATGGGGTGCAGACAATGGGGATCGAAACGCGGGAATAGAGAGAGCGGAAGGATGTGAACGCAAATAGCGTCGAAGGAAATCAAACATGGCCGATGCGCGTAATGGCGTGACGTGACAAACGAGAGAGAGAGAGGCGAAGGAACTACATACGGGAAATTTACATATCGTTATTTACGCGGATCTTATTCACACACGATTAGAACGCACTTTGAGGTGTGTTCAACTCTCTGTATACGCAGAGGAGTATAACGATTTTCGTGGAAATCGATTTATGTATGAAATAAAGAATTTTACGTGCGGATACGTAAGTATTTGTTTTCCTTTTGACCGTAGGGTAATCCGTACTTATTGCACGTTGTAAACCATTTTCACCGTGGTCAAATGGATTTATGATAATTTTGAAAGTTCCAGGATAATAAGAAAAAAGCTATAAATTCTAGCGGATTCATTGGTTTAATTGAATAACGACAAAGAGGAGGAAGTGCTGCCTCCAAAGGAGCGGAAGTTGCAAATCAAACTATAAAATTTTATGGATAGAAGTAAAGTACTTTTTTTTTTTTTTATGGAATATCATCTAATACGCGTTTTAATTGTTCAAAAAAATTGAATTGATCGATCGAAAATATGGTTATTTTTATAAATTTTTACAATTATTTATACGATTGATCGACGGTATAAAAATATAAAATTTTATTTTCATTTTTTACTTATAGTGTCATTTTTTTATTGTATTATTATATCAATAGATCATAAAATTAGTAAATTATTAATATAATAATGAAAATCTTAACATTTATATATTTATATACTATATTTAAATATAGTATATTAAAGTATTTATTGAAATCTACAGGTAATTGTTTTTTTATCGATATCAATGCGCGTGATCTTCCGAGTTACGGTTACCAAATGAGAAAAAGTAAAGTTAATTTCGTTTCGATTGTATTGTTCAGATATCGAAGCTATGCGCATTTAATTTTAATATATAATTTAAAATTGCGCACGAATATAATTAATTACATTTTTTATTCACGAGTGTTCAAAATATATTTATTCATGCGTTTTAATTGTCGATACATATCATTATTATCGACAAATGGCAAAACTTGCTTATTGGTGTATTATCTACGAACAGTAAGTTGCAGTACTTTTTAGTACAGGTGATTGGTTTATTTTATAAATAAATCAATAACTATAAAACTTGAATTAAATTTTAAGAATATGAAAAATAAATTTTAAACATTTATTCGTTAATAATATTAATTCTAAATTAATATTTATATAATTGTTATAAATATAAAATTATTATTCTATAAAAAAGTATTGCAAATTGTTATTATTCAATTTTTATAAACTTTTAAAGTATAATATAAATACGATATAAAAATCGTTATTTATCTTATCAGTAGATTGTGTATCATTATATCTTTTATTAGTAATAAATTATAAAATAAATTAACGTATTAAAGTAATTAAAATTATTAAATTATAAGTAATTAAAGTAATAAATTATAAAATAAAAATCTAAAAATTAGTAAATTATTTTCACTATAAGTTTATTTTTGATTATTTTATAATCATTTCTCGTTTAAAATAGCAATTAGAATATTTTATTAACAAAGATAAGTTAAAAACTAATAAAACAGTAAATCTAATTATTATTTTAATTTAATTTGTAAAAATATATATTATATTATATATATATATTTTTTATTATTATTATTTTTATTATTATATATTATTATATTTTTATTATTATATATATTTACTATTATAATAAATAGTAAAACAATAATTAACAATAAAATTATTAACAATAAAAGTCCAAAAAATATTAAATTATTGACTATTTATTCCCAAAAATTAGTTTTAAAGCAATCGATAAAAAACGTACATATTCGCCAAATTTCGGCAGCGATTTTCTATAAATATAAGCGAAATCGCGAGAGAACGAACAGTTTTTCATTTAAGCTTGACATAATAGTTCGAAATTATAACATTTTAATTAAATTTTGATTATAGAGAATAATTTTTTATCATTTATTCTTAAAACATTTATTCTATTAATTAATATTTAATATTATTGTACATATAATATATTGTTTATTCATTTTATTTTTTAATTAGTATTTATTTTCTCTTGCACTTACTTTTTCATTTATATATTCATTTATTTATTTATTTATTTTTTTATTTATTCATACACTTATTTATTCATATATTTATACTTTTATTTTTTAATTTTTTTATTCATTTACACTTTTACATTTATTTATTCTTTTATTTACTTATAGATATTTATTATAGATATTATTTACTTATATTATTTGTTCATTTATTTATTTATTTTTTTATCGTTTGAAAATTTTCCAAAGATTATTGTTTAGAAAACAATATCAAGCTAAGAATTACGTAATCTTTTAGATTTTTGGATTGCAAATATTATTTTACTTATCATGAGATGTCAAGAGATCGTTGATTGACATGATCATCTTTTTATAGTGAAACTTAATAATTGGTATTGTTTTCCAAAACATAATCTTGATTGAAATTTTTAATAAAAAAATTAAAAAAATATTATAAAAATTTTTAAAACAATTAAATTAATTTTAAAAACAATTAAGCAAAAAATAAATATTCTTAATACGAGAAATGATGTCTCTATTTTTTGTTACATTAAAGATCAAAATATATTGTACTTTTGACATAAAAAACGATGAATATGTTCAATTGACATCTTGTATCTCTATGATTGCATATTAAAAGTATTATAACAGAAAAAATAGTGTAAAAAGACAATAAAAATTTGAAAATTAATGTCATGTCGAGAATATTATAAATGAAATAGACACAAGGAAAGAATAACCAGTAAAAAAAGATAAAGATATAATAAGAATTGATTGTTAATCATTTTTTGAATGTTTTGATTTTTGAGAAATATTTTTAGTACTCAAGAAATGACGCTAATAATAACTTCTCTTACTCTATCCTTCTTTTATTGTTTCTTGTTTTTTTTGTTTCATTTGCGAAACTTAACAAATGATGCTGATTTTAATATTTTTTAATCCTTCTCCGTTTATTTCTTATTATTTATTTTCTTTTTTATATTTTTTTCTGAAATAAAAATACGAAAATATATATAAAAAATATTCTATCTATTAAGACATAATATATATATTTATAATACACTTGTAACAAAAATACAAGTAGCATAAAAATTATATGGATTGAAGTTTAGTTTCATTTGTTATATGAATGTACATGTTATATTGTTATATTTAAATATAAGTTGCAAGATAGAAATCTTTAATATATCATGGAACATTATAGAATTTTTATAAAATATTACAGATATTATATTCTTCCATTTCTTTTCAATCATACAGCTTATTTCATTTATCTGAGCATGGCTTTTTTGTATTTACATGTACATGATCAGTTTATTCTACTTTCCTGAACAAAATTATTGATTTTTTAAAAGAATTTAATTCATTATTATTCGCGTTATTATTTTAACAATAATAAATCAATCGCCTTTGTTATCAATGCCTATTTCAAAAAATTATTCTAGATTATTTTAGATTAAGATTTAATCTAAATAAATTAATAAATTAATAAATTAAGATTATCCATCTATTTATATTTATATTTCAAACAATTTCTTAATAATTACATAATAATTAAATCTAAGATCTTAATTAAATCTAAGATCTCTTCGAATAAATATTTTGTTTGTGAAAATTTCATTTGTTAATTGCATAAAACTTCAAAATTATTAAAAAAAATTTTGTACACATTGTTTAATTTTGCCAAAGTCGTAAAATCTTATCCTTTCCACCGGATACGACACGGCATCCATCTGGAGACCAATCCACTGCATAAATTTCGTCTGCATGACCAGGTAAATCTTGACAAAGTTTTTTCGTTTTTAAACTCCATACTATAACAAGAATAAAAAATAATTTTATTATAAAACTGATTCTAATTAAATTATGTAATGATTATGTTTATGCTATCATTAATCTATTTTTTCTTAAAAGTTAATTTAGAGATTCATCAAATAGAATATAATAAATAATAATAATATTTTAAATTTATCAAATTTTTTATCAAATAAAATCTTCATCTGTATCATCCAATTATTTTTATTTATTTTTATTTTTTATTTAATAAAATAAAATAAAAATATATTGATATATATTTATATATATTAAAATAACATAAAAATATTTGTTATTTTTAGTTACCTTTTAAAGTAGAATCTGCACTGCCACTAACAAGTAAACGAGAATCTGCACTCCATGAAATTGAATATACAGCTTGTACATGACCTCTTAATGAAGTTATATATTTTCCTGTATTTGATTCCCATAATTTTATTGATTTATCAAATGAAGCAGATGCAATTATACGACCATTTGGCGAGAATTTTACATCATTAATCAATTGCTGATGTCCTGTCATTCTTGCTAAAAATTTAGAGAAAAAAATATTTATATTTTTATTTTATGAAAATCGTCTATTTATATATATATATGTTTATATATATGTTATAATGAATAATACCAATGAATTTTTTTTCCTTTTCTGGTTTCCATAGAAATAATGTAAAATCATCAGAACCAGAAACAAGTATTTCTTCACCCACAGATTCATAATATTTTTTTGCATATTCTACACGAGTTTCAGTTTCATTTTGCTCTGTTCCAAGATGAAAAGGACCAGTTCTGAGTACATAGTCGACATTTAATGTTAAAGTATTCACCCAATGTGCATGACCTTCTAATGTTCTGCATAGAATTCCCTATATGTATTCAATTTAATTTCATATTAATTTAATTATATAAACACTTTATGAAATTTACTATATATTTGCTATTTTTTATTTAGTATGTTTTTTTTTATGTATTAACTTACATCTTTAGCTCTCCATACTTTTATAGTTCTATCTTGTGAAGCAGAATAAATAAGACCATTTCCACCCCATTTAACACATGTTACACTTTTTGTATGACCAGAAAGAATACGAACTGTTTGTGAACGTATTGTGTCCCATATTCTTAAATCACAATCTTTTGAAGCACTAACTAAATATTGGCATTCAGAATTTTTATGATATGGTTCCCAACATAAAGAAGTAACCCACATTTTGTGACCTAACATAGCTTTTCCTAAAAATGTATAAGAATCAAATATAAATTATATTATTTATATTTTAAAAAATTAATTTATTTTTCATTTTTTTATAAGTAAAAGTAAATTTTTCTAATAGTTACCTATCTGTTTTCCTGTTTTTGGATTCCATAATAATATGGTACCATTTTTACATGCAGATGCTAGCTTAGTTCCACATGGAGACCATGATATACATAATACCCAATGTTTATGACCTTCACATGTATAATATGGAGTTTGTGTGTATATATCCCAAAATCTAACTGTTGTATCTCCAGAACCACTAGCTAAACATGTTCCATTAGGTGAAAAAGCAACTGATATTACTGCCTCTTTATGTCCTATATTTCATAAATGTTTGTTTTTATTTAATATAATATATATAAAATTTTATAATTCTATATAATAAAATATAAACCTTCTAAAGATCCAGTACATCGTGTAATTGCTTTTACTTTAAAAATTGCTTGTGGTTGATATATAACTTCAATTATATCCTCACTAACATTAAAATTTTCTTTAATGTTATTTTCCAAACTATCTGTGATCTCAATATTATTTACATAAAAAGCAAAAGGTATAGGTTCTTCATTTTGTAAAAGTGTATTACAAATTGCTTGTAATTTATCAACTGTAATATTTATAGGTAAATCTAATAAACCACCAGGTAATATTTCACCCTTATCTGATTTAAAACGTGATAAAATCCGTTTAACTTTTATTGTTTCTGTTGAAGAATTTCCATTATTTTGTTTATTTTCATTTTCCTCTTCAAATTTTCTTTTATTCATGTTTAATTAAATAATTATTATTTAGATATTTCTTAAAACGATATAACGATATAACGATATTATAAAAATTTATATAAATTAAATTTGCATTAATAAAATCGTATTAATTTTAACATTATTTATATTAGAAAATAAAAAAATTTTTTTTAAATTCATATAAAAATAATTAATTATTTACATAAAGAAATGTTATGCACATGGTCAGAAAAAAATTCACAAACAAAACTTAAAAATTATGATTTTGATTATAACATGTGATTCTAACCTATTTATATTTATAAATGAAATAAAAATTGGTCAAATTTTCAATGAAAATTTAAATTTAATTCAATCGTTGAAAAATTTTTTAATGCATTTAAAATATTTTAATTATCAATATTTTTTTTAATATATTTTATTAAATAATTATAATGTATTTATTTAATATTTGTTATATCTAATATTTCTTAATAAATATTTACCAATAAGAATTTATTTTTGCATTTCTTTTGTTTTTATAAAAAAAATATAATTTATAATAAAAATATCAACAATCAAATCAAAAATAAGAATAATATAATAAATAAGAAATTATATAAAATTTATTTATAATTATCATTCTTTGATATTGATAATTTTAGAAATATACAATTTCAATTTAATTAAAAATTATTTTTTTAAAGCCGCTCTTTCATGTAAATATTTGTATATTTAATTTCTTTATAGGATTAAAAAAAAATAGAGTTATGCCTCTCACTTATCTACTATTCATAGATATAAAAATACGTTGACAACTATAATGATAAAATGGCGAGTTAGTATGTGTTGATTGTTATTTTAAGATTATTTATAATCTGAGTGTAGGAAGATTTTTAATTTAACAAATTAATAATTCATACATGTTATTTGGTTTTTACATTCATATGCCATGAATTCATTTGATTCGATTGAATTTACTCAATGTGTTTCTAAACTTTCCGATGAAGATCGCAATTGTACTGCTATTGATGAAACTACCGGGGAATTTTGCGGTGAAACTGAGACTTTAAAAATTATCGATGAATTTCAAAAATTGTATGAGACACGTATTGAAAATGTTGATCGCGAATTTGAAAATAAATTTGATCAAGTTTGTGTAAGTTCTTTCTAATATGAAGTTAATTTAATGTATTTATTGCCATTCTATTTGTATAATTTAATTATTATTTATTTAAATTTAAAAAAATTACATATATATATTTTTAAAATAAATACAATTATATACTTTTAACATTGAGTAATTTAAATATAAATTTTTCAAAGTTTTTTTTTGTATATTTTTTTAACAATTTCAAATTCAACTTAATTAATTAATAAATAATAAGTTACATTATTTATTAATAAAACAATTAAAGTTATTTCAAACTATATACTATAATATAAAATCTTTAAAAGATTTTATTTTTTTTAATATACATTAAAAATATTAAAAACATTAAACAAATTTGTAATTTTAATAGAAAATTTTTAATTATAAAAAATATATTTTATATGTTATAATATTTAATGAAAAAAACAGAAATAAATTAATTAATATGGAAAAATATGGAAAAATATGTTTATATTTTAATTTTTATTAATATTTAATAATTTATAGATGAAATTAGAAATTTCAAAGGAATGGATTAAAAATTTAAAAGAACAAAACATTATGCTAGTACAAGTAGTAGAGGATTTAGAACAAGCTGCTTGTAACAGAGTTAAATTATTAGAAGAAAAATTGAAACATTCATCAATGTTAGTTTCTGGAAATATGAAAAAGTCAACGAATACAGAAAAGGTATTTAATGATATTTAAAATTTTTTTTCTTAAATTATTAAAATAATATAATCTAAATTTATAATATAAGACATAATTGTTATTATAGACTATAAGTACACTTTTAAATCGTGTAAGTAATTTAGAAAAAGATGAAGAATGTATGCAACAAAAAATTGAATTTCTTCAAAGTGATATTAGAGGATTATTAGAATTAATACGGCGTGCTGCACAAGAAAATCATTGGACTTTGGATGATATAAAATTTTTTGAAATTCAACCTAGTGATATACCTGTTCCTACTAAGTAAGTTCTCTTAATCAAATATCTTTGATATTATATGTATATTTTTTATATTACTTATTATTAGTAATTATTTTTAATATTTCTAAATTTATATGAATTTGAAATATACAAATTTTCCTTATTAAAATTAAGTAACAGTTTCTTTTATACTTTTGCAGTTGTACCTGTGATCAGGTAAATATAAACATAGATGGTGATAAGAAATTCAAACTTAGAATACAAATTAGTCATGACTTCATGAATAAATCAAATTATCCATTAGACAGAAGTATTTGCATGATACATCCTTCCTATTCAACAACTCTTTAATTAAGCTTTTATTTTTTGCTATATATGTACATATATATTTTATATTTTTATTTTATATTTTAATTTCCTACACTCTTTTTATTAAATCCTTTGTTACATATACTATACAATTTTTATGCAAAATAAATGGTGGGTATGTAACATAATTATGTATAAATTGTCGTTTTTATTATATTTAAATTTTCTATAATATATATTAATAATAATATATTAATTTTTTGAAATTAATTTTCTGATTTTAAAATTAGGAAGATATAAGTCACAAAAAAGTACAATCTTTAAAATTGCAAATAAAAAATTTTGAAGAAAATGAAAAAAAAATGATTGTGTAAGTAAAAATAAAAAAAAGAATTTAAATATTGAAAATTTGATATCATACATATAATTGTAAATAATAAATTTTTTATTTTTCTAGACACCAAAAAGAATTAGAGGATAAATTAATTGATCTTAATGCAAAATTACAAATAAAGGAAGATACCATTAAAACATATGCTTTTCAGTTTCAAAATCTTAGTGATAATCTTAGAAGACGTGTTAAATTTACAGATCAAATTGCATGCAGTACATTTATAGAAAATAATCAAGAAACTTTTGATGTAAGTTAACATCTTTTAAATAAAATAATTAATATAGATTGAAATTTAGAATATTTATTCATATATGCATGTGTACATAATATATGCATAATTCTAATAAAATAAAATAATTAAATATTAAATATATATTAAATAATAAATAATAAGGCAATCATATTGAAATATTTTCAAATATATGAGATTTTCTAAATTGATAATGATAAATTATTTTTTAAATTTTTATTGCTATCCAGATTATGTTAATGGCTGATATTGTGGAAAATCTATTACTTGAAAAAGATGTAGAAATAAAAATTTTGCACGAACGTTTACGCGACGCGAAATCTAATTTGGCAATAACAGTTCGCGATAGCGATATAAATTTGAATAATTTAAAGATTCAGTTGAATGAAAAGTACAAGACAGTTCAAGATATAGAGCAACAGATGGCTAATCTTCAAAAAGTTTGTGTTAAAACTTTTTGCTTGCATGTGTATTTTATTTCAAAATAACAATTTAGTTATAATTTTATTTGTATTAACTATCAGGAATCAGTAGAGAAGCAAAGTGTTTTAACAGCTGAAGTGATGGAAAAAAATGAAATAGTAACTTCTCTTCAAAAAGAAATGACTATATTGCAAGAGCAATGTCATTATGCAAATATGCAAATTCATTTTAAAGAGGGCATCATTAAAAAAATGCGAAAAGAACTAAGACGAATAGCTAAGGTATAAATTATAAATCGTGTATTTGTACATGAATAATAATGATATTTTTTATTTTCAGTGTCTATATTCTAGTTTCTTTTCTTCTACTCATAATTGTTATAACAAAATTACTATTGATAATCAAGAGATGGAATTTTTTTGTAAATTATGTGAAAAAATTATTGTATCAAAAATGATGCAAACATCTACAAAGCATAAAAATAATTCTATTTTACAAACTTATATTGAAAATATTTTGGATTGTAATAAATTAACAAAAAATATACCTACAATGAAAACAAAAGAAAATAAAACAATAGATTATTGTGCGAACACTGAGTTTAGTAAAATTAATATGTATACAAAATTTCATAATATTGATAAAAAAATTTTGAAATACAGCAAAAAATTGCCACCTTTTAATATATGTAAACAATCTTTGGACAACAAAAATGTTTTTATTTCTGAAAATTAAAATATATTGTATGTACATATATACTAATCAAGTGATATAATAATTAATATATTGATATTAAATATATATATAATTTATAAATTTAAAATATTCAATATTATATTTCAATATGATTGCCATTTATATAAAAATATAATATATATATTTCATTCATTTTTCTTTTACACATTGAAATCAATATTTCATTCATATATTTATTATTTAATATATTTTTTGTTTATATTTCAAAATAAAATTTCAGGAAATTCATAATATATAGAATGATTATGTTAATATAAAAAACTATATATAAATTTTTCAAGAGGTTGGTAAAATTATATATATAATAATTTTGTTTCTTTTTTCTTATATCTAAAAAAAAATATTTTAATAAAATAATAAAAATAGTATTTCTAAATTTCAAATATAACTAATAATTTAAAAAATTTAAATTTAATTTAAATCTAAAATTTTATCTTTCCTTAGGATATTAAAAATCCAAGGAATTCTATAAATCAACAGGTAATATAAATATAAATATTGTAAATTTCAATATTTAATAATTTATAATTGCTATTGTTACATATTGTTATTATACATATTGTTATTATATGGATTATAATTTTTAGAATCAAATTGTATCATATTTGAATAAAGTAAAATCATTGATGGAACAAGAAAAGGAAGATCTTTCTAAATTAAAAGTAGAACTGGAAAAAACTGTTGAAAAATTATGCTGTGAGAAAAATGAAGTTGGTAACTTTAAATATAATTAATATTTTAATTAAATTTCAAAATTATATATTTGTATAAATTTCTATGAAATATTCAGTTAAAAAATTTTGAATAAAATGGTGTATAATTTTTTAATTCAGCAATTAGAAAAACAGTTTGTTTAAATGCTTGATATACATTTATGTCATGTAATATATGCATAAATTAAACTGTTTTTAATTTGGAATCTTATTGATAAACATTTTTCAATTATCTGTACTATCGATATCGTAAAAAAATTGTAAAATATAATTAAATTTAATAGATATTTCAGAATTTATAGAAACAGAAACAATTCTTGTCAATTAATTCTAATGATAAATTTATTTCTCAATTGTAACAAAATATAAAATAAAAATTGTATATTATTAGTGAATTGTGTTAACAGTGATATTCTCTGAAAAATGTTTATTAATATTAATTTTAAAATAATTATTTTAATAAATTATTTTAATATTTATAAATTTATTGCAAAATTAATTTTTTGTAAAATAATTTTTTTTAACAATAGTATTAAAAATTTTATATAATTATTACATTAAAAAATAATATATATATATATATATATATATATACATATTTTGTTATTTTTAATTGAACAGGAATATAAAATTAATAATGAATCTAATATGGATAACATAAAATATAAATTAGCTAGAAATATTGAGTATGTAAACAAAATATACTCAAAAAAGGATGAATTAATTGGAATAATTAATTCTTTAGTATGTATAATTTATTTATTTATTTATTAAACAATTATATATAAATATTGATTATTTATAAAATTTTATTTTATATTGCTATAGCTTCAAGTAGAAAATGATAATCTTTTTCATACAGAAAATTTAAATTTATTAGTAAGTATTAGCTAATATTTAAATTTTATTTTAATAAATAATATATTTTAAGGAAAATAAATTTTTACTTAAATGTAAATCAAATAATTAACAAATAAATTTTATATAATACTTTATAATATAATATTAATATATAATATCTTTTTAAAATAATAAATGAAAATTAATTCTATATTTTAGCCAAATACAGATATTAATCAATTTAAGTTAATGGATATATTTAGAGAATGTGCTGTTGAAGCACAAATTACTATGGAAGATATCAAAGATGAAATAAATATGATTGTTTCTTCCTTTAAATGTAGACATCAAAAGGTAAATTATATGTTAATATATATATATATAAAATTTTATATTATTATATATTAATAACAAAATATTTTTATAGTATATCGATTTAAATAAAGAAGTTTTGAATGTACAAAATCAGTTAATAAAATGTCGAGAAAAAATAGCAAATGTGATTAATAAATTACAATTACAAGTAAGAATTATTAAATATAATTAAATTTAATATTATTATTTATTATATCATTTTAATTAATACATATTTTCTCTTTATCATAGGAAGAAGAAAGAGTAAGACATAATGATAGAATTATTTCAGGAGAGAATAAATTGAAAGATATAAAAAATGAAATAAATATTACTCAATCTCAATTATGTCATGTCAATGAAATGCAGTCTAATGTAGGATTCATTTTTTTTTTAATTATTTTATTTTATTAATTAAAAAGCATGATATAATTATTTATAATTATTTCAACAAAATTTTAGGAAAATATGTCATATTGTGTAGAAGACATATCTAACTGTACAAATATATCTAATTATGACTTGTTATGTTCAATAATTGAAGAAATAGAACAAACATCATCTAGTTTGCAAATATTTCAAGTTCAAGTAATTTTTAAATTTCTTATTACTTGGCATTAAAATATTAATATTAAATAAATAATATTTAAATTATTTCAGGGGTGTTGTATAGTAAAAGATCTTGAGAAGTTGAAGAATCAATTTTGTGAAGTAGATTTATCCACAAAAAAATTACATGACAAAATAGATGAAACAGTTAGTATAGTAATTGTTATAAATATGATTAATTACTATTTATTAATTTCAATTCTAGTTCATTAGCTAGTAAATGAATCATTATTTATTTTCATATCATTATTTAATTTGTGCTTTATTATTTGTAGTTGACAGAACATGATATAGTAGAAATAACACTATCACAAAAAGAACAAAAATTACAAAAATTAGAAGAAGAAGTTGATACAATTCATTTAAAAGTACAAGATGTATTAGAAACATTTTTTTCTTCAAAAGAACATGTATATATTTGTATTTATATTATATTATAATTAAATAAAATTTTACTTAATTTTTAATACTATAATATAGATATATTTTTTAATATAAATTTTTTTTTATTTTAGATTTTACATGAAGTGTTACAAACTAAACAAAGTGTGAACAAATTAAGAAAAGAATATGATGATTTAAAGTATAAACTATCGCAAGTAAGAATATTTATATATATATATTATATTATATTATTTAAATTACATATATTATAAATCAATTTTTTTGTTTATAATAACTATTTCACAGAAATCACTTAATTCAGAATGCGATAAAAAAACATGTTTATGGAAATATAGAGTAACTGATTTACAAGATCAAGTTAAAATATTACAACATGAGGTATTTAATATTTAAATTTTGAATATTTAATGTTTATTGTTTATTAATTTATCAGTTTATTATATTTATCTTTATAGGCTAAATGCAATGAAGAAGCAAATAATTTTTTAAGAAATAATATTCAATCATTAGAAGAAGAGCTTCATATAATACATGGAAAAGCAGACAATTATAGACGATCTCATTCTATAAATAACATGAAATTAAAAAAAAAAATCATAGAATTAGAAAATACTGTAAATATTTACTTACATACAATATTTATTTAATGTTATTAAATAAAATTATTTATACATATCTTTTATAATTTATATCTTTTATAATTTTAGCTTAAATTTCAAAAAGAAATTGAATGTACTCTTAGACGTGAATTGAATGATATCGAAATTGAATTAAAAAAATCTAAGGAATTATTAAATTCTTCTGTAAGTTAATTTCTTATTTCTGAATCATTTTTTTTTTTTTTTCTTAATATAATATAATATAATATTAATAGTAGAAATTTAGAACCTTAAGATACATATTAATATAAGTTATATTAATATAAGTTATATTTTTTATATTCTATATGTCTAAATAAAAGCACAATGAATATAATATGGAAGAAACTTTGTTGCAATGTAGCTGTTATCAATTTAGACATGATACAATGGTAAATATTATTGATAATTTATATAAAATAAATATAATTACATTAAATTAAAATTAATAAATTTGTTTTTATAGACAGCACATCAATTATTTAAAAAATTAAAAAATAGCATAAAATGTACAAAAATTGGTCTTCAAGAACTTAAAACAGAACTTAAAAAATTGGTTTGTATAAATTTCTTATTTTATTTAATTTTATGTTTATAATGAATGTATAGAATTTTAAATAAAAATTACTATAAAATTATTATAATATAAATGCATGAATTATAAATATTATTTATTTTAAAATAATATCTTACAGATTTGTGAAGATTCTAATTGTTGTTCCTCTGCAAGATCATTAATGAATTTATTGGAAATATTACAAAAACATGAAAGTGAATTAGACAATTGCTTTCAAGAAATTGAAGAACTCAAAAATGCATTATATTCCAAAGATAAACTTGTAAGTATTATTGAATTTTGAACAAAATCACAGAATTGAAATATCAATAAAAATATTAATAATATATAATCACAACTATATTTATAGATAGAAAATATGAAGGAAATTATTGATATTCAAAAAGATTCCATTGTAATGACACAAACTGAATTGAAAGAACTTCACCAAAAGTATCAGGAAAAGGTATGTTAACATTAAGTCTTCTATCTCAAAAAGGAATTATTTTATAATATTTAATATTAATAATTCATTGTATAAAATATTTAAAACTATAAAAAAAAACAAAAAAAAACAATCTTCATAACAAAAGAAATTAAAAACTTTCTTTTTATTTTATAATTTGGAATTTTAAAAATTTCACTTTTTTAACTTAAAAATTTAACTTATAAGATAAATTGCTCAATTTTTCAATATTCAAATAATAAGAAATAATAAGAAAACTATATATGTCCAAAGATTGCAATTCTCATATTTCAAAAACAAATTTAGATCTATATAAAATACTAATAAAAACACAGATCTTTTTTGTTATGAAAAATTAACAATTTTATTATTATATAATTATATTATTTATATTAAGAAATTTAAAATTAGAATTTAGAACAAAAGTATATGTTTATGTTATTTATTTAATTCTTAAACTATATAATTTACTTAAAATATTTATTACTTCAATAATCTTTTTAAATTGTTTCATCAAAAATGTGATTATTAATTTAAAACTATCAAGATTAGTCAAAGGTATGTCAGTCACAAATATAGTAATTTTAATATATCATATAATGTACATATTTTTAGATCGATAATCAAAATCAAATAATTTCTCAATATGAGAAGGAAAAGAAAGATTTATCAAAACAGGTTTGTATTAATTTTATATTAATAAAAACTATATAAAAAACTTTTATTTTCATATATGAAATGTCATTTGTTTCTATCAAATAATAAAAATATACTTTATTCTTTAGAATGAACTTCAAATTCAAACTATTGGTCACTTACAAAATGCTGTAGTGGAAGCTAAAAAATGTATAGATCAAATGGGAAATAGAACAGTGAGTGATATGAGTGAACAGTGGTCTGCAATTCCATCTGTAACATTCAATCAAAGGAATGTGCATGATGTTTAAACGTTAATTTATAATAATTAAATATGTGCAATTAACTCATATATTATTTATATAAAATAATTATTCAATATATAAATAAGATAGTAATCTATAACGTAATTTTTAAATTTTAACAGTTACTATATAAAATAATTGAATTTGTTTTTAATTTTTTTACACTATATTTTATATTTTTAGATTCACAATAATTATATATTATCTAAAATATTTAAAATTCTGTAAATTTGTATACAAATTTAATTATTTAAAATTTAAAATTTATTTAAATAGTATGAAAAATTGTATAGATTTAATATGTTTAATATTTATTAATATTTAAAATTTTATTTTTATAAATATTGTTGGCAATTGTTAAAATTGTTAAAAATATTTATTAAAAAAATCTATTTTATCATTTTAAAATAAAAATAAATATATTTCTCTAAACAAAAAATCATGTCTAAACAATAAATTTTATTACCATTTATTGTTATAATAAATAATTTAACAAATAACATGCATGTATTTGTTCCATTTTAATCAAATATCAATAGTTGTAAATTAACTAAATTAATATTTCTTTTTTAATTTCAAATATAAAAATTAATTGTGTGATTTGATAAAATTTTATACAGAAAAACAATGTTTGTGTAAGTGGTGTTATTGTTATTACATAAATATTATTTTAAAGTATTATTTTTAAAAAAAGAATCGAACTATCTATTATTTGCAGTCTGAAGGAAAAATTGAAACTATTCGCTTATTGATGATATATGTAGAAGAAATTCAAAGTCAATATAATGAATGTTTTGCAGAGGTATTATAAATCTTTTCTTTATAATTTGATTCTAATATAAATGATTTGTTTATAAAATTTTTATTATTATATTTATAATAATAATATAATTCAATTTATATAGGCAGCTAAACAGGACAAATTGTTAGAGCTTCAACGAAATGCAATTCAGGATCTTCAACAAAAAATTATTTCCATGGGATACAATAATTTCTTAGCTATTAATTTTATTCATATTACACATTATTTCATTTTAAAAACAATACAGGTAGAGAAATATAAAATATTGTAATAAATAATGTGGTGAAATGTTTGATTGATTTATTTTGATAATAAAAAATATTTATTTTCATCAAAGTTTTATTATATTTTGAATTAAAATTTATATTAGTTATTAAAATAAAAATAATTATTGTTAAATATCATAAATATAGTATCAAAATATTAAAAATTAATTTTAAAAATTAAAATTAAAAATATTTTTTTACTAATATATTAATAATTGGATATTTTCTAGGAACAACTGGAAATTCGTGTAAATGATATTCAATCTCTGAAAAATGAGGTATAACAATCATTATCAAAAAAAAAAAAAGAAATATATTTGTTTTACTATTTATATCACATAAAATATATTAATTTCATTTCAGATAGATACTCTGATACAGTCAAAATGCTATTTGGAAAATAAGTATTTAAATACAAAAAAACTATGGCAAGAAGCAGAAGAAAAATTACAAGAATTAAGGTAATATTTTAGTATAAAATTTTATTCATAAGAATATATAAAATATTTTAAAAATTACTATTAATTGATTTAGAAAAGAAACATTAAAAACTGAATATAAAATAAAGATTGGAGAAGATAAAGAATGTCAATACAAAATAGAAGTTAAAGATAAAAGCTGTATTACTCAAAATATATTTGATTATGAAAATATAACATATGATAATAGGAAACAATGTACAAATTATTCATATGAACATGATTTACAAACAGAAATTGAAATTTTAATTAGAGAAAATGAAGATATGAAAAAGCAACTACAAAAATATAAATTAGATTTTGACATAATTGATAAAGAATTGAAAACAGAAAGAGAAAACGATATTTATATTCAACAGATTTCATTTGAATTACAGAAATTAAGAGATACAGAGTGTTGTTTACAATATGAAAATGAACAACTTAAATCTGATTTAAAAAAACAAACAAAAAATACAGAAGATTTATTGGAAAAGTTACAGTCTACTCAAGAAAATAGCACGAAATTTGAAAAATTATTAAAAAAATTAGAAGACAAACAAATACAGGTTTTTTATTTTATTATATTCTAATAAAATAATTAAATAATTTTTAAAATTATAATTAATTAAATAATAACTTATAAAAATATTTTATTTCATTATATTTAGATTAATGATTTATGCAGTCAAATTTCGAATAATGAAATTGTTATAAAAAAACAAACAGAAATTATTGAAGAATTTGAAAAAAAACTAGATGTAAAGAACCAACAAATCAAAGCATATTTATCTGAATTAAATGAAGCAGAAGAAGAAATGTCAACTTTACATGAAAGAATACAATCTCTAAAAACAATGTTAAAAGAAAAATCAGATAATATGGCTAAACTTCAAGCAGATTATGAAGTGATAAAGGTATGTTTTAATATTTTAGATGATTTTTTATAAAATAAATTAACTTTTAAATTAACTAATAAATGTACTTTTTATTATATTATTGTAAAAATATAATATTAAAAATGTTATAAATAATTATAGAATGATAATTCTATATTAAAAATGGAGAATAGCAACTTTGAGGATAAAACCAAAGAAGATATTTGCCAATTAAAAATCATGGTAAATATTTTAAAATATCTTAATATACATACATACATCTTCTTTGTATATATGTACATATTTATGCATACTTATATATATCTAATATTATCTATAATTATTATCTTTAATTATTATTATAATTTCAAAATTATAAATTCCTTAAGATAACATTTATATTATCTTTTTTTTTCAGTTAAAAGACCTTCAAATGCAATTATGCTTTACTGAAAATAACTATTGTAGAGTTACTGAAGACTTTAATAAAGCACAAGAACAATTAATCATAATGACAAAACGGGAAGCTGATTTACAAGAATGTTTAACAAATATGGTATGGTATTATTTTTTTAAAAATGTTTTATTTAATATTATTTATTTATTTTAGATGTTTAATTTATATAATTTAATAATAAAAAAATTTTTTTATCTTTTTATTTAATTATTTTAGGAAAGAGATTATTGTTTAAAATTATCAAGTATAGAAAAAGAAAAAGTTATGCTTGGAAATTGTTTAGATAAGCTCAGAGATGAATTAGAAGAAATTCAAACAAGTTATTCATCAAAAAGTACTGAACATTGCAATCTGCAAGATATTTGCAAGTCTTATGTAGAACAATTAGAAATTTTACAACAACAGGTGAAATTAATTTAATGTTTATATATTTTTATATATTTTTATTATATATTTTTTTAATAATATTAATTTCAAATAATATTAATTTCAAATGTTTTTTATATTTTTAGATTGAAAAAGAAAGAGAAAAATTTAAACAAATAGAAGAATCAAATCGCTGTATAATACAGCAATTACAAGAATACAAAGAACAAAATAATGATCTTGTTAAAGAAAAATCTATAATAGAACAAAATAATTGTGAAATTATTTCAGAAGTGAATATTGAATTATTTTTACAACAAAATATTTTAATATATAATTTCAATAAAAATTATTTATAAATTTTTAAATTTTCTTTAGTTACGAGAGACGCACAAATCCTTATTGGAATTAAAAAGAGAATGTCAACTGAAAAATAAGTCTTTGGCTTGTATATCAGCAGAATTAACAGAAACAGCAATGAGTAGATCAGAACTTTGTAATCAATCGCAATATGTTGTTTCTTGTATACGTATTTGGATGGAAGAACAACGAGAATATGTAAACAAACTTAGTGCAAAATTAAAATCTCAACAACAGGAATTAGTACAAATTGGATTTGAGAAAAAGTATGTATTTTCAGAATTCTCAAAAATAGATTAATATATACTTTTAAAGATTTATAAGTTTATAGTTACTAAAAAATTGTGAATAAAATAATTTACAGAGTATTAATAGATGAAACAAAGCGGTTAAGACATATCAATCATGTATTAATGCAAAGATTAAAAAGAGTATATCGATATAGTAATAAGAATGTTAGAAATGTTTGTGTAGGATGTCAAATATTACCAAAAAATATTGATACACGTTTTCCTGTAAACTCCAAATATTTATCATCACAGAAGGTAATTAAAAAAAATATGATCTTTTACTTTTTTTTTTTTATTATATTTTATTACATTTAAAATTCAATATTTTGATTTATTTATATTTGAAAAAAACTAAAATTATTAAGAATTCAATATTTTTAATTTTGAATATTTTATAATTCATATTGTTGAAGATTTTATAATTCATGATATAATTAAGAAAGACAATATTTACATAAATATATATATATATATATTTAATTTTAGCTTATAAAAAATATTAAATATTAATTCCTAATAATTTATTTATATTTATTTTCTAAAACTATTTATATTAATATTCAATCATTCATTTAATTATACTAAAAATTCAATTATTAAAATATTTTGTTAAATATTTAATTAAATTATATTTTGATTTATGGATTTTTATACATATATATTATGAATTATAAGTTCTTTTTATGTATTTTTCATTATCTCTAATTAAAATATTTTTTTTATTTAGAAACTAAATTTCATGAAGGCAACACGACGTATTTCAGTGTGCAATAATGGTTGGTTGTTTCCTAAAATGAAATATTTAGTAAATGAATTACAAAAAAATAATATAGAATGTAGTGAAAACTGTTTTAACAGGATGAATACAGATGTAAGATTAGAAGAAAATCATGATTGCGGTTATCAATCATCTACGAGTAAATGATATGTAGAATTGCTATTGTCTATTAGAATGAAAAAGAACTGTATTTTGTAATACACATACAAATGATTAAATTATTAATTTATCAGACTATTTTATACTATTTTCTATACAATAGAATTTCTTTTTATTCATAAATCCTAATCAATTCGAAAATGTAAATATACATTGAGTAAAAAATATAATTATTAAGTGCTTTTTTTTTTAATTTTTCATAATTAAATTTTTTGACGTAATTTTAAAGTAAAATGATAATTTGTATGACAAAGAATATGGAGTAATACAAGATTTTTAATATATAATTTATGAAATAATTCAAGCAAAAGTTTGCATTCTGTTATAGTAAATACTTCCAGTCCTTTTGGAGGATACTAAAAATGACATATTGTAAATTTTAAAAACGTTTACTTATTAAATAATATTATGATAAAAATGAAAATACAAATATACAATACAAAAATACAAACATTATCTAATTCATATGCATTAATAAATTGCATATAAATTTCACTTAAATGTTATTTCTTTCTTTTAAATGATAATTTTTTTTAAACTTTTTATTTTTTTATATTAGTATTTACTATTTTATACTACATAAATTATATAAACTATATAAATTTGCTTTTTAATTACAATATATTATTTAAAAACACAAAATAGAATTATGCATTTGTTCATGTAAGTAAGATTCATTATTTTTTAACATATGTATTTAGTTACAATTTTTTGATAGGTATATTATAGGAATATTATAAGAAAATAATTATTTAATAAATAAAAATTAATCAAAAAATATAATTTTATCTTTTTTTTATATCTAAAAAAAGAATGTAACACAGTTATCAAAATTAAATTAAGAAAATGCATATGAAAAGAATTTGTTTGTATGTTTCTAAAAATCATAGCATTCATTAAAAAAAAACAAATTATAATATAAAACTGAATAATTTGATAAATTTGATAATATACAAACCAAAACAACATGTAATAAAATAGTTTTATTAAAAAATTGATAGACTTCTTGAATTGTCAACCATGGATGTGAAAGAAAAAATAAATGTGTTAAATACACAATACCCAAACATGCAGAAATGCTTTTCTCAGTGAATAAATTTAATCTAAAATATAATTTATAAATATTGATTTATAGATCATGATTAATTTTTGAAATATTTAATTAAAGAAAGAAGAAGATATATAATATAAATATGAAACTATTACATAAATTAAAAAAACAAAGTTTTTATTTTCAATCTATAATTTATATTATATATCTGCGACATAAATTTTTAAATAAAATAAATTTTTTATAAATTTAATATATTCAAATACCTAGCAAATTTAAAGAATTCCCATAATACATTTGAAACAACAGTATTATTTTTTACTGTAGTTTCATTTAACAATTTATTCTCTGAAAAAAAAATTATATTAATTTATCTTACATACATAATTAATATTTATCAGAGAAATATATATATTTATTTACCAAAAAAAGAAACTATCATATTTTTATTTTCTTGATTTTTTTTTAGATAAATTATGTCCTCTTCTGTAAAATATTTCCAAATGCACAAACTTGGACACGGTATATCAATATACTGACTATAAAGAGGATTTTTTGAGTATATCCACGGTCCGCACAAATCGTCATAATTTACATCTGAAACGATTTGAATTTCTGAACAGATTTTTCGTGAAATTGTTCGAATATGTGATATTGCATATTCTGATAAAGTTGAGCGTTTAACATTTATAATCGGTTTTAATTGCTCTTTTTGACCATTAATTTCAATATGATCTTTTATTGTAAATTGATTTGACATTATTAAATATTTTCTATTAAAGAACAAGCTATATATATTTAAAAATTAGGTACATGTAAAGATTAAATTGGACATTCAAATTGATAGAGAAAATGGAATAGTAATTAACGGTTTGTGTTGATCGTGTTTTTAAAAAAAAATATATATATATATATACACACATTTTGTATTATATATACTATATAATATATGTGTATATATATATATATATTAATATTAACATATTCTAGCATAAAATATTATATACAATATATAGAATAATACATATAAATGTTGATATCTATAATTTCAGGTAATATTTTTTAATATTGTTAAAATAATTATCGATGCAAACGCCATTAAGCTTCATATACATTTTTCACGATAGAATGAAATAACATAGAAATTATTTTCACATACACTTAATTAATGTAATAGAAAATAATTTTCAAAATCATAATTATATTTACTATGAGAATTAGTATAATTATAAAATATTAATATTTATAATTATTATTAAATAATTATAAATTATTAAATTTATCCATCCATTATTAAATATTATATGTAAAACTAAAAATATGAAATAAAATATTACATTATTCGCTTTTTGAATTATGTAAAGATTATAAAATACATAATTTGTATTATTTAAAAAGATACAATATTTCGATAAAAATTTAAAGCTCTTTACAATTCAAAAGGTAAAATAAATAAAATTTCAAATTTTTTCAATTTCTTCGAATTTAAATGCAATTTTTTGAACATATAAAAGAATAATATATCTTTCAAATATTGCACGATGATGAAATATAAACAAATTCATATTTACAGAAATGCAAATATTTTATTTATTATATTTTACATAATAATTTAATAATGATTTTTATATAAATATCAAATTTTATTTTAGTTACTCTCTATTTTAGTTTAAAAATTCAGATTTATTTTCATTTCAGTTTATATAATGATATTTGATAATATTTAAATGAATTTTTGAAAATTATTTTAATTTAATAAAATGTTTTTATAATTTTTAATGTGGATTATTTATTAAATAAATTTTTATTTAAAGTATTACTTGGAAATAAAAATTTAAAATCAAATATAAAGATTAAATAGAAATATTTTGTATGTATGAAAAAATATAATTTAAAGAAAACATAATTTTTAATAATTTAATGATAAAAAAATACTAATGTTATTATTAAAAACAATTTCCAATTTTTGCTATTATTTCACATGACAAATATTAAATAATTTTGGATGAAATTAAATTAATTAGTGAATTTGACGAAATCCTTAGTAATATTCACAAGTTTATTTTTTCTTGCGTAATCATTTATAATTTATCATGAATTATTATATAATAAAATTAATATACAATATATTTCGGAGCAAAAATTTGTTATACATGTTTACAAACTAAGAAAGTAAATACATAGGTAATCATAGCAGCAGGAATGGCCTACTATCTTACAAGATGTTTCGCGTGCCAAAATTTCATCATACATTGTATGTTTTAAATGTATATTATCATTACTAATATTAATGTTATTATTATTTATATATCAATATTACCATTAATATTATTATTACTTATTACCATTAACATTACTTATTATATAAATCATATTTATTATATATGATTTATATTATAATTGTATTTATATATGAATATATATATAAATACAATTTATATATATATATATTTATATATTTATAACGAACACCGCCCATTACTACTAGCATTACAAATGGGAGCTTCATTTGTCTCTGTTTTTCTCTTTTTCTTCTTTTTTTGATAGATCTGATACTCAAAATAGATGATATATCGTCGAATGTAATGTGATACACGCATTTATTATTAATCACTCAAGAAAAATGTTTATCTTGCACAGTTCACCTCCCATTCCATTATAGTGGTTTTTTCCATTGTTTTATTTTCCATTCAAATATATATTCATTGTAGATACACTCATGGTGTATTTATATTTGTAGATTATAGTACAGATCTGTAAGCAAAAAATATGTTTTCTACAATAAGAAATTTTTTCTACAAATAAGAAAAATTTCAGAAAAATTTCATAAATAAAAATAAATATTTTTTTAAATTAATATATTACTAATACAAAAACACCTATTTTAAAATATTTATTTTATCCTATATATTATATTATCCTTTTATTTATTTTATCTTTTATATTACATATATTATGAAACTAATATCAATTGAATATTTAATTCTTTATAATTTGTAGTTAATCATTTAAAAAAAATTAATATATATTAAATTAAATGGCTAAATTAATATATTTAATAAATATTAAAAATATTTATGATTTAAATAAAAATAATTTAAAATATATATTAATATACACTTTATGATTTTTTTTACATTTATAGATTTAGTTATCTTATGGATAAATTATACTAAAGATTACTGATAATTTTGTTTATCCTTAATTCAAATATTATACAGAATTACAATTTGTTATAATCTAAATCATTAAATAATTGATATTTTTATAATCTATTAATTATATTAATTATAATATTACAATATCAAAATATTTTAATATAAAATTACAATTATATAATATTTAAAACAAATATAAAACAAAATATAGAAATAGAAGATGTTTTAAATAATTTTATTTTTAAGATATTTTTAATTAAATAATTTATATCAAATATTTTAAATATTTACTTTTATTTCTATTTTTAAATAAATTAATTAATACTATATAATTTATTATATAAATTTTTTTTTTAATTAATTAATAAATATATCATACAAATTTTTTTTAATTAATAAATATATCATACAAATTTAATAAATAAAATTTTTTTTAAATAAACTAAACAATGATTAATATTTGAAATAATATTGATAAAATTCTGATCAAAATAAAAATATATATATATATAATTTTTATATTTTATAATATTTGAATAAAGATATTTATCAAATTTATTTATTGTTGTGTTAATTAAATTAATAAATTCAACTTTTAAATAAAAAATTAATATTTTCTTTAATGTCATTTTATGATTTACAGTAAATCTACAAACAAGATTGTAAATATATTACAAGATTGTTTTTACTCTCTTGTATATAACAATATAATTAATATTGTAAAGTATATCATTCACATTATTAATTAAATAATAAATATAAAAATAAACGAAATAAGAATAATATATAACATTATTAATCATTCTATATGTAACATTATATAGTAGAATTTGCAAAATTTAACATGAAATATATAAAAATTACTTTCAATTAAATGTAAATATATATATGCATATTCTGTAATGCCATAAATGATTAAAAAGCAATAGATTCATTAGAAATATACAAGCGAAAAGAGAAAAAAACAAAATGTTTAGATTGCGCATTATTACTTTTTTCAATATTAAATCTAAATTATATATAATACATAAAAATTATGCAAAAATATACTTATATAAATACAATTTTATATTCTAAAAAAGTTATTTATTAAATGCCAAAATATTTGGAATTTATAAATATTTATCTTAAAATAAATATAAAGGTAATGAAAATTTATAGCAGATAAGAATATTAATATAAAAAAAATTATTAAACAATTTTTAGTTTTTATATTTTTATAATATGCTCATTTTATAAATGATTCTTTTAATTATTAAGTAATTTTTGATAAAGTTAACATAAAATTCATTTACTATACATTAAAAATTTTAATTTTATATAAGAAAACACTTTTTTAAAACATTGATTATTTTATGTAATAATTCAAAATTAAGGGAATATTAATTTAGATTTTTATGTTTGCGTGTCTTTTTTACTTATTTAATAAATATTAAAAATAAGTCAAAATACATGCAATGAAAATATTAAACATAAAAAATATGTTATGACAATATGTACTCAAATGAGACTAATACAAAATTTTGCATAGAATATGTAAATTTTGCATAAAATATTTAAATTTTAACTTAATTGGTATCTAATTATTTTTATCATTGAAAAATAATCTATCAATGTCTCTATTCATTATATATTTTAACATTACAAAAATATATAAACACAATATACTACTATATCAAATGCTAAATCCATATCTGATGCATATATCAATTATTTTATGATTTTTTTAGGTATCATATTCTTTCATCATTGATGATAATAAGGTGTCAAATTTTAATTAACATAAAAATATATACCAACATAATATTTGACACGTACAGATTTGGATAATCACTTGCAACAATTGCCAGTTGCTGCCTTTTGTCCTTCTGTTTCAACCAATCGACGACCTTGACCACTTGTACTTGCACTTCCTGATTGTTCATTTTTTGGAAGTTTTTTAGCTGTAATATGATAATTTTAATAAATTTATTTAATTTAAGTAAATTAAAATATTACATAATAAATTCAAAGAAATTTTAGAAATTAAAACATTTAATACATTTTATATTATGAATATAAAATATATATATATGCTATATAATATTAACTCAATAATAAATATGTTCTATTTATATTCGGAACTGTATTGCATCTAATAGCAAAAATTTAGGCTTTTGAAAATAATTGATTGATATTACTTTTTGACTTATAATTCATTCTTTAAGTATCTTAAAAGCAGTAATGAAAACCAGAATGAAATAGAGAAAGATTTGACTATTATGTGACCACATATCACAAAGATTTATATAATTAGAATAAATAATCTTAAATAGATGATAAAAAATGATGATTTTACTATTGAAATAAAAATCACATTTTTATCAAGACAATATTATATATGATTATTATACTGTATGAAATTTAATAAGAGATATTATTTCAGATTATTTTTCTGTATACTTATAAATAGATTAATTAAATATAATTAAATATAAAATATAAATACTATAAATTTATGTGTCAGATTTTATTCATTAATATCATTAATAAATATTTAATATTAAAAATATTAAATTTTTCATGATAAAAAATATAATAAAATAATCTTACCAATTGCTAAAAATATATCATTAACATTCATTGCTGTTTTAGCTGAAGTTTCCATGAAAAGAAGGCCATTTTCATCAGCATAAGTTTGAGCTTCATCAAATTCTACAATTCTTTTATTTGCAAGATCAGCTTTATTTCCAGCTAATGCTATAACTATACTTGGACTGGCTTGTCGTTGCAATTCCTTCAC